TGAAGTTTAGCAGCCCTCCGCCATGTTCCTCTACCTCCTGTGCTGTTCCTCCAGCTTGCTGTGGAGGGAGGGAAGCAGAGGCTGACATTTCCTCCAGGGAAGCAGATCCTGAGGTGGATGGGATACCAGGGGCAGCATCCAGGACCCCCTCCTCGCTCTCCACCCATACTGCCACCGCCGATGCTGAATCCTTACCGGAGTCTCCCTTCATCTTCCGGAACCTTTCCTCATTACGGAACTTTTCTTTAAAAGCTCCGCTCTTCTCCTTCAGAGTCTTTACCAGATTCTGCTGCTTCTTAATGGCGTCCTCCAAACCCTTCATCTCCGGCTTCAGACTCTGCCTCTTGCTGCTCCATGACTTGTCATGGAGAACTTTCTTCTTCTTGTAGTCAGCTTTCAGATTCATCAACTTTTACTCCTCCTTCGCAATTCTCACCAGATAATCAGCAACCCGTTCTCTGAAGACAGGGAGGGATTCCCCTCTTTTAGGGCCACAGTCAAGGTCTTCAGGTGCTGGTGAAGTATGGGAGGGCAAGCTGGGTCCCTCAGGGGGAGCATGGTCTGAGCCTAGCCCAGAAGAGGCCATGTTTCTGGGGCCAGGCGAGCAGGCCTGGCCCCCTAGTGCCTGGAGAGGGAGAGCAACTGCAGCACAACCTCTCTGGTGCAGAGCGTAAGCTCCTCTGGTACAGAGACTGATGTGACTGGCTTGGTGTTCTCTGTACAGCGCTGCGGTATATGTCACAGCTATATAAATGTACACTGGTCAAAAAAATGAAAGAAACACTTTTTAATCAGAGTCTAGCATCAAATCCGGTAAACTGGGATATTGATCTGGTCAGGTAAGTAGCTGAGGGGGATGGTAATCAGTTTCAGCTGCTTTGGTGTTAATGAAATTACCAACAGGTGCATTTGATGGGCAACAATGAGATGACCCCCAAAACAGGAATGGTTTTACAGGTGGAGGTCAATGACATTTTTTTTTCCTACTCATCTTTTCTGACTGTTTTTCACTTGTTTTGTATTTGGCTAGGGTCAGTGTCACTACTGGTAGCATGAGGCCATACCTGGACCCTATAGAGGTTGCACAGGCAGTCCAACTCCTCCAGGATGGCACATCAGTACGTACCATTGCCAGAAGGTTTGCTGTGTCTCCCAGCACAGTCTCAAGAGCATGGAGGAGATTCCAGGAGACAGGCAGTTACTCTAGGAGAGCTGGACAGGGCCGTAGAAGGTGCTTAACCCATCAGCAAGACCGGTATCTGCTCCTTTGTGCAAGGAGGAACAGGATGAGCCCTGCCAGAGCCCTACAAAATCACCTCCAGCAGGCCACCGGTGTGAATGTCTCTGACCAAACAATCAGAAACAGACTTCATGAGGGTGGCCTGAGGGCCCGATGTCCTCTAGTGAGCCCTGTGCTCACTGCCTGGCACCACAGAGCTGGATTGGCATTTGCCATTGAACCCCAGAATTGGCAGGTCCACCACTGATGCCCTGTGCTTTTCACAGATGAGAGCAGGTTCACCCTGACAGACGTGAAAGGGTCTGGAGAAGCCGTGGAGAACGTTCTGCTGCCTGTAACATGGTTCAGCATGACCGTTTTGGTGGTGGGTCAGTGATGGTCTGGGGAGGCATATCCATGGAGGGATGCACAGACCTCAACAGGCTAGACAATGGCACCCTGACTGCCATTAGGTATCAGAATGAAATCCTTGTACCCATTGTCAGACCCTACGCTGGTGAGGTGGGTCCTGGGTTCCTCCCTTGTGCGGTGGGTCTTGGGTTCCTCCTGGTGCAGTGGGTCTTGGGTTCCTCCTGGTGTAGTGAGTCCTGGGTTCCTCCTGGTGCGGTGGGTCTTGGGTTCCTCCTGGTGTAGTTGGTTCTGGATTCCTCCTGGTGCAGTGGGTCCTGAGTTCCTCCTGGTGCACTACAATGCCCGGCCTCATGTGGTGAGAGTGTGCAGGCAGTTCCTGGAGGATGAAGGAATTGATACCACTGACTGGCCCCCACACTCGCCTAACCTAAATCCAATAGAACCCTTCTGGGATGTCATGTTTTGGTCCATCCACTGCCGCCAGGTTGCACCTCAGACTGTCCAGGAGCTCAGTGATGCCCTGGTCCAGATCTGGGAGGAATTTCCCCAGACACCATCCATTGTCTCATTAGGAGCCTCCCCTGACTTTCTCTAGCATGCATACAAGCACATAGGGGCCATACAAACTACTGAGGACCATTCTGAGTTGCTGCAATGACATTTCAGCACAATGGACTCGCCTGATGCATCATTTCTTCACTTTGATTTTCGGGGTGTCTGTGAATTCAGTCCTCTGTAGGTCGCTGTGAGGTGTGCAGCTATCCTCAGCTCTTCTATTCCTGAATTCTCCATTTTGTTTTACATCGGGGACAGAAGAGACGGTGGAATGGGGTCTGTTTTCTGTCACAGGAAATGAGGTAAAGGGGAAATCATATCAGAATTATATCCTGACCCCCTGTGCTCTGTTATTTAATGCTATTTCTATAAGTAATTGTTGTTACATCAGGAGCTGGGTCAGGAAAGGGGTGGGCAGGAGGAACAACTGCCCTAGGCACTGTGGGTATTTGGGGGGTGATTTGTAGGGGGAATTGGTACTAGGAGGGGGATTTGGGGAGAGATTTTGCCTAGAAGGGAAAATCTGGGGGGCAGGCGTGTCCCTAGGCAGGTGCGGTGGGTGCGCGCCACACCCGGTGACACCTATTGCACGTGGTGACACTGGAACCACTCCACAAAAAGGTAAGTTTTAAAGCAAGCCGATGATCCCCACAGGATTGATCGGATCTGCGGATTGGGGAGAATAATGGATCGGACTCCATTATGCTCTGGCAGATTGAGCATAATGGATTGGAGTCCAATCCATTATGCTCCCTAATCCGCAGATCCGATCCATCCTGCGGGGATCATTGGCTTGCTTTAAAACGTACCTTTTTGTGGAGAGATCAGTTAACCCCGTATAGGTTGCAAGCCAATGATCCCCGCAGGATGGATGGGATCTGCGGATTGGAGAGGATAATGAATCAGACTTCGATCCATTATGCTCAATCCGCATATCCGATCCATCTTGCGAGGATCGTCAGAGGGGGTGTCACCAAGTGTTCCGGCACCGGGAGACACCAAAGCGAGGGACACCCCTGCTGGGGGGGAGGGTTAGTGCTCGGAGAGGGGATTTGTGGGGTGGATTTTGTTGAAGGAGAGCATTTGTGCTAGGAGGGGGGATTTGGGGAGGGAAAGGATTTGAGTTGGGAAGGGGTATTTGTACTGGAAGAGGGGGCATTTTTGGGGGGGAGAATTTATGCTTGGGGGTAAGTGTGAAGATTAGTGCTCCAAATTTTTGTTGGGGGGTAAGGAGGGGATATTTGCTGACACCTGATGCTCAGACCTTTTTTTGGGGGGGGGGGGGGGAGGGTACCATTTGGCATCTGCAAATGGCGCTAGATGACTTGTCCCGACACTGATCAAGAGTTCGCTCATCACACCAATGTTCCGTGAGCTGTAGATCTGAACATTATTTCAGGGGTTCCATGACAGCTCAGACATTTTTCCAAGGGTTCCGCTTAGGTAAAGCAGTTTAGAAACTCTGCCCTACTTCTCCACAATTTGAAATGCCACCATTCACACTACATTCTCTGACAGCTCTCCTCCCCCACCATCCACACTACATTCTCTGACAGCTCTCATCCACACTACATTCTCTGACAGCTCTTCTCCCTCCACCGTCCACACTACATTCTCTGACAGCTCTCCTCCCTCCACCGTCCACACTACATTCTCTGACAGCTCTCCTCCCTCCACCATCCACACTACATTCTCTGACAGCTCTCCTCCCTCCACCATCCACACTACATTCTCAGACAGCTCTCCTCCACCATCCACACTACATTCTCTGACAGCTCTCATCCACCATCCACACTACATTCTCTGACAGCTCTCCTCCCTCCACCCATCCACACTACATTCTCAGACAGCTCTCCTCCACCATCCACACTACATTCTCTGACAGCTCTCATCCACCATCCACACTACATTCTCTGACAGCTCTCCTCCCACCATCCACACTACATTCTCTGACAGCTCTCCTCCACCATCCACACTACATTCTCTGACAGCTCTCCTCCCACCATCCACACTACATTCTCTGACAGCTCTCCTCCCTCCACCATCCACACTACATTCTCTGACAGCTCTCCTCCCTCCACCATCCACACTACATTCTCTGACAGCTCTCCTCCAACATCCACACTACATTCTCAGACAGCTCTCCTCCACCATCCACACTACATTCTCTGACAGCTCTCATCCACCATCCACACTACATTCTCTGACAGCTCTCATCCACACTGCATTCTCTGACAGCTCTCCTCCCCTACCATCCACACTACATTCTCTGACAGCTCTCCTCCCCCCACCATCCACACTACATTCTCTGACAGCTCTCCTCCACAATCCACACTACATTCTGACAGCTCTCCAACTATAAACAACTCAACACCAACTTTTTCCATATTTTCTTCCTACAGTGGTGTTATGGATCATGAAGTTCCACTCGTATAAATCATACATTTGTTACAACAGTTGTCAGGCGCATTTCCGCTGATGTCTTATTATACTTATTTTATTTATTTATTTCAGGTACTTATATCTCGCCATCAATTTACACAGTGCTTTACAGATATATTGTACATTCACATCAGTCCCTGCCCCCCGAGGAGCATACAGTCTAAGGTCCCTAACTCACATTCATACATACACATTCTGGGTCCAATATAGACAGGAGCCACTGAACCTCCCAGCATGTGTGGAGTGTGGAAGGAAAACAGAGTACCCAGAGGAAAGGCACGTAGCTATAAAACATTTCCCGCACTTTGAATGCACCGAGGACGCTGTGCGGTGTGTGTTCTCTGATGTGTCACAAGGGTTTCTTTCTGAGTGAAAGATTTCCCGCACTCAGTGCAGGAATAAGGACGCTCACCCGTGTGAATTCTGTGGTGTTTTGTAAGGTTCCCTTTCTGAGTGAAGGATTTCCCGCACTCTGAACATGAATAAGGACGCTCGCCCGTGTGAATTCTCTGGTGCGTAAGGAGGCCTCCTTTTAAAGAGAAAGATTTCCAACACACTGAACAGGAATAAGGATGCTCACCCGTGTGAGATCTCTGATGTTTAACAAGTTCTCCTTTGGAAGTGAAAGGTTTCCCGCACTCTGTACAGGAATGCTCACCCGTGTGAATTTTCTGGTGTGCAACAAGGTCTCCTTTAGAAGTGAAAGATTTCCCGCACTCGGTACATGAATAAGGACGCTCACCCGTGTGAATTCTCTGGTGTGTATCAAGACCTCCTTTTTTAGCAAAAGATTTCCTGCACTCGGTACATGAATAAGGACGGTCACCCGTGTGAATTCTCTGGTGTTTAACAAGGTCTCCTTTATAAGTGAACGATTTCCCGCACTCCGAACACGAATAAGGACGGTCACCCGTGTGAACTCTCTGATGCTTAACAAGGTCTCCTTTATAAGTGAAAGATTTCCCACACTCTGAACATGAATAGGGACGCTCACCTGTGTGGATTCTCTGATGCTTAACGAGGTCTCCTTTATGAGTGAAAGATTTCCTGCACTCTGTACATGAATAAGGACGCTCGCCTGTGTGAATTATCAAATGTGTATCAAGGCTTCCTTTTTTAGTGAAAGATTTCCCGCACTCTGAACATGAATAAGGACGCTCACCCGTGTGAATTCTCTGGTGTGCAACAAGGGCTCTTTTAAAAGTAAAAGTTTTCAAACACACTGAACATGAATAAGGACGCTCACCTGTGTGAACTCTCTGGTGTGCAGCAAAGTCTCCTTTATGGGCGAAAGATTTCCCGCACTCAGTGCATGAATAAGGACGCTCACCCGTGTGAATTCTCCGGTGTTTATCAAGACCTCCTTTTTTGGTGAAAGATTTCCCGCACTCTGGACATGAATAAGGACGCTCGCCCGTGTGAATTCTCTGATGATTAACGAGATTAGCTTTCTTTATGAAGGATTTCCCGCACTCTGAACACGAATACGGATGCTCGCGCATGTGAATTCTCTGATGACTGACGAGATTAGCTTTCTTCATGAAAGATTTCCCGCACTCTGAACATAAATAAGGACAATCAACCCTGTGAATTTTCTGATGTTTAACAAAGTCTCCTTTAAAAGCAAAACATTTCCCGCACTCTGAGCAGGAATAAGGAAGCGTGCCCATGTGAATTCTCTGGTGTAAAAGAAGAAATTTGTGTACAGCGAAAGATGCCTCGCACTCCGAACACGAGAATAGATTGTCCCCTCGGTGAGCTCCTTCATGGGGTGCGGAAGATTTCTTGGGATTCGATGGATCTGTTGATCTATCTGCAGTGTGAGATTTTAAATAGATATATGCAATCAATCGATCAGAAGATTCCCCCTGATCAGAGGGATCCATTGATGTCTCCGGACAGGAAGGTCTGTGATGGATATTGGGTGTATTTGGATTCACTCCTGGAGAATCCTGTGTGATGGCATTATCTTCTGACTTCCAATCAGCAGATAATAGAAGACGTCTCTCCGAGGAATTCCTGACATCACCGCCAGCTGATGGAAAGAAATGGAAAAAAAAAAATAAAATGTAAAAAAAAACGTCAGAAGTTTGCGAATAACCAGAATTTTAGCAAGAAAGAAAAAAGAAAGAAAAAAAAGGTGTATCTATTTACTCATCACACAAACTTGTCTTTTATATTTTACCAAAAAATGGGTATTATATTGTGCTTTTGCAGTAAAATTCATTTTATTAAATTGTTTCCTGAAAATTTGCCTTGAATAAACAGTTACTCAAATATCTTGTGACATAAAAATGTGCAACTATCTATTTTTTTTTATTATTTTTTTTTTACACGGGCACTGCTTTCAAAAAAATTTATATTTTTCTGCGTTGGAGGGTTTAAGTCATTTTATTGCCAAAAAATGTGCAAGAAATGAAAACATTTGCTCCAGAGCTGATCTGGTTAAGCTACAATCCTTATACTCAAGACCGGTCCAAAATAATTTTGCGGACTAGGCAAGTCCAGCTACTTGCGCCCCAGAAAATAGAAAATATTACATTAACAAAACATGAAACTGTTAATTACTGTTTATTTGCACAAATTGCAAAAAAAAATAAAAAAAAAACCTCATCACAACAACCTCGTCTTTTATATTTTACCAAAAAATGGCTATTACATTGTGCTTTTGCAGTAAAATCCATTTTATGAATTTTTTTCCTGTAAATTTACTTTGAATAAACAGTTACCCAAATATCATGTGACATAAAAATGTGCAACTATTTTTTTTTTTTTTTTTTTTACACAGACACTGCTTTCAGAAAATTTATATTTTTCTGGGTCGGGGGGTTTAAGTCATTTTATTGCCAAAAATGTGCAAGAAATGAAAACATTTGCTCCAGAGCCGATCTGGTTAAAATGCAATCCTTATACTCAAGACTGGTCCAAAATAAATTTTGCGGACTAGGATAGCTAGAAAATATTAAATTAACAAAACATGAAACTGTTAATTACTGTTTATTTGCACAAATATGTGCCGTACGATGTCACCAGCACCAGTATTAAAGACAAGGTCAGCGTTACGGACGGACTGTATCTGTGGCTGGCAGGGTGACAGTTGCAGTGAGTGGAGGATGATGGATCTACATTCTGACAGATTCCAGGCAATGGGGGGTGGTAACACGCCATGACAGTAGGGAGCCCAGCCCACACACACACACACACACCTGAATGGAGCGATCCCACACAGTGCAGATCCGACACAACACCAACCAACACAGATCAGTAGGCGCTGTAAGAGCAGGCTGTTGGATCTGATGATGTCATCACTCACTGACACAGATTAGCAGGCGCTACAAGAGCAGGCTGTTTGATCTGATGATGTCATCACTCACTGACACAGATCAGCAGGCGCTTCAAGAGCAGGCTGTTGGAACCGATGATGTCATCACTCACTGACACAGATCAGCAGGTGCTACAAGAGCAGGCTGTTGGATCCGATGATGTCATCACTCACTGACACCTTGCACATGTAATGTCCGGCCAGGTCACACTCACACAGACACGAAACATCGGAGTCAGACATTACCGTCCTCCGCAGGCGCAGCTCACCCTCCGCTGATGAATGGGAAGAGAAGAGTTGGAACTCCACAGCGATCATCAGCCGCCAGCCAGCTTGCAGTAAAGGACTGCGTCTGAGAGGAACACTGGAAGGAACGGCAGCTCATCTGCGCACTGGTACCAGACATCGGGCATCTTCCTCTCTCCTTTCTTCCTCCCCTCTGCTGCACCCTTCAGCTGGACGGTCATTCATGACGGAGAGAGTGCCGGCATGTGCTGCGTCCAGGCGCCCCTAGGTGGCAGTGCGCCCTAGGCAACCGTCTAGTTTGCCCTGCCTATACTCAGAAGTGAAGCAAGACTGGGACCTATTCCTTCCATAGTGCTCGTACTTACTCGTGTCAATAGGCAGAAACAGGTCTTCCTGTTCACTTTTCATAATCATCCCGACCTCCTCCATGGACAGCTGATCAACTTCCACAGACGTCTCCACTTCCTCCTCTTTGACCTCAGATTTTATATTCATCTAAACCCCAAAATAATAAACAAAAAATCTAATAAAGCTCAACTCCAGGCAGATATAAAAGACACACAAAAGACAGCAGCTCTGTAATCATTAATATATTGAATGTATTTCTCCCAAGCAGTGTAAGTACCTGAATGGGACCTGGAATCAGGCTCTTGCAGTATCTGTACATAAGAGCTCAGACTGGGAGAAGCAGAAGCAGAAGGATGAGCCAATCAGAGTGACGGAGCTCATCAGTCTGCTGGCCCCATGATGACTGTGAATGAACTTGGAGGACCACATAAGAAAGTAACATACAGTGGGGATCGAAAGTTTGGGCACCCCAGCTAAAAATTTGTATTAATGTGCATAAAGAAGCCAAGGAAAGATGGAAAAAATCTCCAAAAGGCATCAAATTACAGATTAGACATTCTTATAATATGTCAACAAAAGTTAGATTTTATTTCCATCATTTACACTTTCAAAATAACAGAAAACAGAAAACAAAAAAAATGGCGTCTGCAAAAGTTTGGGCACCCTGCAGAATTTATAGCATGCACTGCCCCCTTTGCAAAGCTGAGACCTGCCAGTGTCATGGATTGTTCTCAATCATCGTCTGGGAAGACCAGGTTATGTCAATCTCAAAAGGTTTTAAATGCCCAGACTCATCTGACCTTGCCCCAACAATCAGCACCATGGGTTCTTCTAAGCAGTTGTCTAGCAAACTGAAACTGAAAATAGTTGACGCTCACAAAGCTGGAGAAGGCTATAAGAAGATAGCAAAGCGTTTTCAGATGTCAATATCCTCTGTTCGGAATGTAATTAAGAAATGGCAGTCATCAGGAACAGTGGAAGTTAAAGCAAGATCTGGAAGACCAAGAAAAATATCAGACAGAACAGCTCGCAGGATTGTGAGAAAAACAATTCAAAACCCACGTTTGACTGCACGATCCCTCCAGAAAGATCTGGCAGACACTGGAGTTGTGATACACTATTCCACTATAAAGAGATACTTGTACAAATATGGTCTTCACGGAAGAGTCATCAGAAGAAAACCTCTTCTACGTCCTCACCACAAAAATCATCGTTTGAACTTTGCAAATGAACATATAGACAAGCCTGATGCATTTTGGAAACAAGTTCTGTTGACCGATGAGGTTCAAATTGAACTTTTTGGCTGGAATGAGCAAAGGTACATTTGGAGAAGAAGGGGCACAGAATATAATGAAAAGAACCTCTGTCCAACTGTTAAGCATGGGGTTGGATCAATCATGCTTTGGGGTTGTGTTGCAGCCAGTGGCACAGGGAACATCTCACGAGTAGAAGGAAAAATGGATTCAATAAAATTTCAGCAAATTTTGGATGGTAACTTGATGCCATCTGTGAAAAAGCTGACGTTAAAGAGAGGATGGCTTCTACAAATGGATAATGATCCTAAACACACCTCGAAATCCACGGGGGATTACATCAAGAGGCGTAAACTGAAGGTTTTGCCATGGCCTTCACAATCTCCTGACCTCAACATAATTGAAAATCTATGGATAGACCTTAAAAAAAACAGTGCGTGACAGACAGCCCAGAAATCTCAAAGAACTGGAAGACTTTTGTAAGGAAGAATGGGCAAAGATACCTCAAACAAGAATTGAAAGACTCTTGGCTGGCTACAAAAAAAAACATTTACAAGCTGTGATACTTGCCAAAGGGGGCAGTACAAGATATTAACTCTGCAGGGTGCCCAAACTTTTGCAGACGCCATTTTTTTTTTTCTGTTATTTTAAAAGTGTAAATGATGGAAATAAAATCTAACTTTTGTTGACATATTATAAGAATGTCTAATCTGTAATTTGATGCCTTTTGGAGATTTTTCCATCTTTCCTTGGCTTCTTTATGCACATTAATACAAATTTTTAGCTGGGGTGCCCAAACTTTCGATCCCCACTGTATATTGATTAAAAAAAAACAATAAAATGAAGTGTGAAAGAAGGATCTGTAAAACGGGAAAGGGTGGTGTGGGGAGCAAAGGTGGCACGTGGGTTTGGGGTAGGTGAGGGAGTACAAAAAGCGGTTAGCCCACGGGGTTCTTAGGCTATGCCAGCCAGTGTGGGTGGGGTCACTCGCCCTGCACATGGGGTACCTTTCCATCATCAAGGCCCTAGGACGAAGTGAAATCTACCTTAAGACGGGCCCCTGGCCTACAGATGAACACACTGAACATATGCACTGAGCCTGAGCCCATGCTGTCCCGTGTCACCACACACCTTGACCGGTGCATTTAGGAGGTTCACCGCTGAGCCTCCAGCTGTCCAGTGTACCTCTGCCAACTCACTCCCAGTCACAGAATTAAGTCCCACGTA